GCAATCCATCTACGTCCTGAGGACCTCGCTGCCACCGTCCAAGCGTGCTTGGCCCCGGCAGATGAACCTCAGGATTAAAGGGTGGGCTCAGTTCCGCGCACACTGTGTCTCACCTAAAAAATCCAATGCGCAGGCTGGAAGGTGGAAAGACCTTCCCCGGTTCTTCGTTCGCAAAGACTGGCCATTACATTACATTACTTACATTATTCCAATGTTATGGGAAGAGATTATTAAATAGAGGTTGTTGTTGATAAAGTTTTAACAAAATAAGGCATTTTTTCAAATACTGAGCAGAATAAATATAAAGAAAATAGTATCCAATAGTCATTCACACACAAATTAATGAAATAGTTGAAATAATTTTTAATGAAAACTAAACAGATGCAGAATTCAGGTTGTAAAAACAGTGGCAATGTTAAAAATGCATTTTCCTTGTAGATCAGGAATTTGATCCATTTTTATACCAGATTGAACAGTTTGCCTAGAATAAGTAGATGGGCATTGATGTTTGGAGGATCACATATCTTTGTTTGTCTCAAAGTAAGCTGCATTCATTTTGAACTACATCTTTTTACATGTGATTGATAGTCAAAACATATCAACATCAGTCTTTTCAGTAGTACACTGCATACCCAGTGCATATGGAATCTTAAAGAATGTAACTATTAAGGTTTTACAGATCTTAAATTAAGTTACTCAGATTTAGAAAAGCCAGTTTACAGATTGTGTGTAAATTTACTTGTGTGTTTACACATTGAAACAATATTTGCACATGAAATAACATCTGCTCTTCAAAGCTTCACGATGCTACCAAACTTTGCTTTGAGAGTTCTAGTGGATTTTGTGAATGAGATTTTTTTTCCAAGCGATATTTCTTAAAAATGGTTGAATGTTTTGTAAAAACGACTATAGATGGAAAACTGATATTGAGATTTCCAGATGAAGTTTTATTCGTGGCAAAGTTAGCAAGTGAAACTACCATCTGGGCATGGTTCTCGGCAGACCATGTGACTCCAGAATTTAGATGCAGGCAGTTTTGTGAGCAACTATTTAGCATAATAAGCTGGGAAACAGTGTTCTGGAGCACTGATGCACACACGGCTTTAAAAGACTGTATATTTTTATGAAATTTTGTTAAAATAGATCAGGATTTGCTGCAATATGGGCTCTTGTGGATAAAAGTAGAAATAATGTTTCATTTTAGCTCCCTGCAGTTTTGTTTTGGTTTTTTTTTCAACAAGTTTCTCAATCAGGATGAATGGTTTGAATGCTGAATGCATGAAATATCTTGATGTGATCAATTTTTTTTTTTAAAAATAATGAATGCCACTACTCTGAGTTTTGATGTTCTAGAGCTAGAAGACATTCAGCTATGAAAGAAGATCTTTCTAGAGTTAGCCTACTGACTAGGCACACACACTATAAACTGTGTTAAATTCTAATCTCCTGTAGTGATCATTGAGGAAGAATGATACTGGCAGTCGATCTCTTTTACTAGTTTCCATGTGGCTGCAGTAGGAATCTACTCTGGATTCTTAATTGCTGGTAAATTTGAAAGACATTCTATCTTGTTAAAGATTTCAATATGGTTTTTTTGTGTCTCTCTAAATTTATATAGATTTTTATTTACTTATGT